GGGTATTATGGGATATGATGGGGTATTATGGGATCTGATGGGGTGTGATGGGATCTGATGGGATCTGATGGGATCTGATGGGGTATTATGGGATCTGATGGGGTTTGATGGGATCTGATGGGGTTTGATGGGGTATGATGGGATCTGATGGGATCTGATGAGGTATTACGGATATGGGCTATGGGATGTGGGACATTGTGGGCTGTGGGACGTTACTGGATGGGGGACATGATGGGATGCGGGGTATTATGGGATGCCCCCAGGTACCCGCGCCCGGAGGAGCTGCCGACGCTGATCCGGGTGAGCATTGAGAGCGGGCGCATGACCCACCACCACCCCACAGGTGGGTGCTATGGGGCGGGGGGGGCGATGCCATCCAATGGGGCCGGCGCTCACCCCCCCTCCCCCCCCTACAGGATACCTGGGCGCCTTGGCCGTGGCGCTGTTTGGGGCGCTGGGGGTCCGCGGGGAGCCCCCCGAGGTGTGGGGAGCCGAGCTGCTGCGCGTCCTGCCCCACGCCTGGGATTACGTGGAGGGGGAAGGGGTGAACGTGGGGGACAACGCCGCTGCCTGGGGCTTCTTTGGGGACAGCTGGCGCCGGTGAGGGGCAGCGGAGGTTGGGGACATGGGGGTGATGGGGGCGTGGGGGGTTGGGGACATGGGGGGGGCAGGGGGGGATGAGGGGGGCAGTGGGGCAGAGTCCATCCCCGCCACCACAGCTCCCCGTGTCTGCAGGGACATCGGCGCTCCTGGTGCCACCCGTGTCCTTGCTGACCCCAACGTCCCCAGCGCGAGTCCCATTGCCCACAGTGCCCCCATCGCCCCCCTGCCACCACTGTCCCCACTCACTGTCCCCAAATGACCCCACTGCCCCCATTGCCTCCGTTTCCCCTAATGACCCCATTACCCCAAAGGCCCCCAATGCCTCCATTGCTTCCATTGCCTCAGTTTCCCCAAATGCCTCCATTGCCCCTGATGCCCCCAAATGCCCCCAAATGCCCCCATTGCCTCCATTGCCCCAAATGCCTCCATGGCCTCAGTTTCCCCCAGTTCCCCC